TAACTTTTCAACGTGCTGTATAAATTTCAAATAGGCAGCACACTTATGCAAAGACGTGCTGAAGATTACTTGACCGAATTGGCCAGACAAACGGTAGCATAATGAGTAGGAAATGCAGCTTCGAAGACGCATGTAGTACAAAGGAAACGTACCTTGAAAACGCTCTTGGCGCCCTCACAGCCGAAGTATTCCGAATGACGACTGGTAACAAACATGCGATAATTGGTAGTCACTTAACCCTCGCCCGTAAACGGCGATCTGCCACCTTCGCCCATGCAGGGGGGGGGGGTTGGTGCGACCCCCCCTTGGCGTTTGAAAAAGGAGCGTCGTAGAGCTTAGCGGAAAAGACCAACGGATTGCTCTCGCCGAGATCTCGCGATTGGTGGCATATTTTTTGGTCCTAGGTCAACATTTGACCTACTTTTGACCGGTCAAAGGTCAAATTTTCGAAAAAAAAATAGACTTTTTTCAACTTTCGGCGGCGATTGCGGCAAAACGGTGGGAGATATCGACTTGAAACCTTCACTATCGTGTTCCTTGATCAATTCTCTATCGTTTGGTATGTATTTCGTTTCCCTATCTCTAAAAATGGCGCGTTGGGAGCGCCGGAAGTCGGCAAGGTGACAGTCGGCGGCAGAAATTCGAAAAATCAAAATTTAAATTTTTGAAATCTGATTGTATTTTTGGATTTGGGAGGTCCATTTGCTCCCTATAGAAGCTAATACTGCTGCATATTCCTATTGAGGTGACAAGAATTAGCAAAATAGTGGTTCGGGCGCTTTTCAAAAATAGTACCGGACGCTGTTCCTCTTGTGACGTCATAGCTCCGTGACCTGACCTGACCCGGTCAAGTTTCTTATACCATATGATAGCCAATACTTGCCCCAACATGCATGGGAAGTTTCATCACGATCCATCAACCGATCTCCGTACCACCGGCAGGAAACCTCGGGCGTTGGCACTCAGTTTGTGAAAATCCGGCCGGAGGCTGTTCCCTTTGTGACGTCATAACTCCGTGACCTGACATGACCCGGTCAAATTTTTTTTATCAAAAGATGCGCAAGGTTTGCCCCATAAGGTACCCAAAATTTGGCGGCGCTGCGCGCCGCCGTTTTTGCACTATTTCCGAAAAACCTCAGGGGGGGGTTGCACCAACCCCCCCTACATGGGCGAGGGTTAAGCTTCAGAGCATCACTGACAGGTGGCATCCATGTCGTACGGTTTTCGAAATATCTCGAATTTTGGCTTTGCCCCAACTCCGGCATTGCCCCAACTTCCCCTAGTTATAGTTAACGCCATTTTAACAATCAAGTTTTCATAGTTGCTTGGAACACAAAACCTACTGGCTTCACCGTTACTGCTTTCATCCGTATTTCAAATTGCTTTCCATGTAGCACTTTGTCACTAAACTACACTGTAACTACACTGTAATTGTATGTGGTTTTCAATATGCCTGAATGTCATTTTGGAGTTTTGATAGGTCCCACTGCTGGTCTTGGGTTGACAATGCAATGAAATCCTTTGAAGGCAGCATATTTCAATACAAAACTGCCGAAATTTTGAAGTATTTGAGTCAGCTTCAATCAGCTTTGCCGATATTTACTTCTTTCCGTCTCATCTACGTTTATTCGTTTTCTATAACTGCATCGCAGGGAGGCTCTTTGCGTGAAATTCAAAACATGTTTTTTCACCTATATTAGTTAGATTGTTATCCACATCTCTTGTGGCTGTTGTAGGTGATAGCTTTTTTTGCAATGTTTCATAATTGATCAAGTGATTTATGAAAGGTTCAGTAACTGTTTCGGCAACTATATTGAACAAGTCACCAACAAGTCATTTGCGCTCTACACAATCCCCGGAGAAGAGGCAGAACTTCACTAACCCCTTTCACGCACGGCCATGCTGCGCCGCCGGACACGAAGACTGCAACGTTTCCCTAGAGTAGATCACGATACGCGTGAGGCGTATCTCAGTAGCTGGCTGCTCACTCACGGCTTTTTCCCGGGCGACTCTAATGGCCGAGAACCGAGCTTGGATGTCACAGGAGCGGCGACGATAGGTATCACGCAAGAAGTGAATTTGTTCGCCTCCCTCCCTCTGATAGAGTGGCGATTAATGAAAAACACCGGCAGCGCTGGCGATAACCGCACGCCCGCCCGGCGGCGACATTAGAAGACAATTACCCACGCCGGGCTGGTCCACCGGGACGACGGCAGCTCGCGCTCCGGCCGTCCTCCGCCGTCGAGTCGCCGCCGTCGGGTCGCCGCCGACTCCGATAGGCATCGCTGGCGCGTCACGGCCGGCCCAGCGCGTGACACGCAGTGTGACGGGTCGTGACTCCGCGCCGCGCCGGCCAGCGCTAATGGGACCGGTCTGTTTGGCGACCGGGCGGCTCGGGGGGGGGGGGGGGGGGTGACACGCGCCGGGGCGGAGATTGAGAGCACCCAGCGATGGAGAGCGATGAACAGCGATGGAGGTCTGATGGACGGGAGGGCACGGCAGGTCTGAGCCCGTGGTGGTAACAATGGGGAGAGGAACTGCAGGAGTATGAGCAAAGTGAAGGAATCAAAGGTGTACATAGAATCGAATGCTTTGATAGAGACATTGGCCATGAAGTATGTTGATGATATCAACATCTGCAGCAGGGTACTTACTGGCTACTAGACCCAAATTATGCCCAATTGCTTTATGTCTATACAACTCTTGGTGATGCGCGACTTCCTTATAAGGATGACTTTCTTTTCATTCACCAAACTGAAAATTGTACGAATGTTCCAGTTTATATCAGTTCATACCAGTTAATACCAGTTGAGGGACAATTATATGCCTTGCCGCAGCCAGCAGCACGCCGCACATCCAAAAAACCCTGCTCCAATGGCACAGCTCCTCCCTCCACGGCCTGACTCAGGTGTAAACTAAGTGGAAGGGCTTGTCAAGGCGCAGCTGTGACCAGTGCTCCATTTCATTTCCCCATTGAGGCAGCTTCAATCGAGCGTGAATGACTGCAACTGTCGCCTGAACCCCTTTGCGCTGACATATCACAAAAAACAATCGTCTGTCGTCACCTGTACAGGGTTTGCAGCTTCGGCGGCTCGACGGGCTTATGTTGTCGCATGTTGTCTGCAACAGACGGCAGTGTATCGGTCCACCATTTTAGCAGACGTCTGGCAAAAGAAAATGGCCGCCGCTTTCTTAGTGAGCCCTGGAACATAATAAATCATATTTTTCGTTTTAATTGAGTAAAGGCTGACATATACTTTTTCGGCATTCAGGAAATCGCATGCGAGAGCCTATCCAAATACATTAGAATTCTGCCCGCATCAATCGCATGCGGGAGGCGGTGCGATAGATGCGAGCGTGCTTCCATGTATTTGAATAGGCTCTCGCATGCGATTTCCTGACTGCGGAAAGAGTCTCTTTCGGGCTCAAGAGCTGTTTTACTCTTGCACTAGCCTGATGCGTGCTTCACGAAAAAAATCTGATACTTTCTTGAAAAGAAAAATAGAATTAGGATGTTTTTTTTTAATTCTGAAAACTTGATTGCAGTTGAAGACTGTAGGCGTCTCGTTGTTCGATTAACCCTCGCATGTGTGCGGCGTTTGCCAGCTTCTAATGTGTAGGGGGGGGGGGGGGGGTCGGTTGGACCCCCCCTTGCCGTTTGGCCCCTGATTGAGCTAGAGCTTCGCGGAAAAAACGAGCGTGTTGCCCGTGACGAGAGGAGGCCGATGATACCCAATTTTAAGGTCCTAGGTCATTGGTTGACCTTCCAGGTCAGGTCAATGACCCAAAGTCGGGAAAATCGGGACCTATTAGAAAGTCGTAAAGTGTGGCTGGTAAGGGTTTTTTTGGGGTGCTGATCACGAATATCGTGTTAGTTTTGATCACAGATGATGTCTTTAAGCATTTAGACCAGGTCGGGTCAGGTCAGGTCAGGTCAACCAGTAGGGGCTGTGACGGGTGTTCGTAGTACCTGTCAACCGCCTCTGACAGCTTCGTAACATGTTACAAAGGCACCAAAACTACTTCGTAAATGTTCAAATGGTTGCTAAATTCGAATTCAGCTCCAAAAACTAGCCTAGAAACATGTAAAACTCGAAAAAGTGAACCGAGGTCACCCGAGGTCACCAAAGGTCAATGACCTGACCTGACCTTCAGGTGACCTTGACACCCACCCTAATGCATGGGAGCAACATCAAATCATATGTTTGAACGTTTGAAAACACGAAAAGCTTGCAAACGCGCGGCTAATGCGAGCCGACATACGCGGAATCGCGATTCCGGCCAAACAAGGTCTCGGAAAAGAGGTCACAGGTCAAAGGTCATTTGGGTCAGGGTCATGAAATTTTCAGGGTAGGTGTAAAATTGATAAATGCGAGGGTACTGAAAGTTTCGTCGCGATCGGCCGCTTTTTACGCGAGTTATTTGCGAAAAACCATGGGGAGGTCCATCCGACCCCCCCCCCTACATATGCTACAGTTAAATATACGAAGATAAATTTGGGAGATGTTATCACACTTTATCCGTATATCTACTTATATCTGTGCAATTTTTATAGAGAATCACTACATATATTCTTTGATGAAATCTGTCTTTGCAACTTATGGTTTTATTCACACCTACAAAACTCCATGATAAAACACTCCATGATTCCATCTATTATCCTATCATCTATGATCGCTCTTGTGAAACTGTTTGTTAGCTTGTTTAACACTTTCTTTATTTACATAAAATATTTCATATTTTGTTTATTTCGTGTTGTCTTTATTTGCACATATTTATCATGACATGGGCCATCGGAGTTACCGATAGGAATCGGAAAGCCATAAAACCCTAAAAAGAGAAACAGTCATCATTATAATCACTTATCATTACCAACAGCAGCGGTTTCATCATCATTATCATCGTCATCATCATCATCTCCATCATTATCAGCAGCAACATCCAGCGCCGCCACCAGTAGTATTGGCTCTGACCAAACTCACGTCTTGTGTCCGCCACAGGTGAACCGGCCGCTGACCATGCGGAAGGACGGCATCCAGACGAGGAAGCGCAAGCCGAAGAACGTCTCCGGCGATGCCAAGAACATGATAAAGTCACACGGTGAGCTTACGTCATCACACATCGCTGCATGGACTACATAATTAACGTCATGCAGCCGCGCAGCACACTCCTGTTGTTTTAACACGCTCTGCAATGTTTGGCTTGCCTATAACGAGTTATTCGTGTTCCGAAACTTTGCATTTGCTCGAATCTTTGCTGACATTCTTCCCTATCTATCGTAATGAAAACTGGCTTCTCTGGCCCTTGTCTCTCTTTCTAACACACAAACAGCTCTTAAATCTTTTCGCACTCACCCACACTCTCTAAACGCTCCTTTTCTCCCGTCACAGCTCGTCAGAACGCGCTGACCGCTGCTACCGTCACCAACGCGCTGGGCAGCTACGCGACCAGCGACTTCTACGGCCAGCACTACTGTGGTGACATGTCGGGAGCCAGCGCCCTGCTGCAGGGCGGCGGCGCGGTGCCCGGGGGAGTCTCGGCCGCCGCCGCCGCCGCCGCCGCTGCCGCCGCCGCCGCGTCGGCCGTCTCTCACGGTACTCACAGTCGGTACGCACTAACAGCACGCGCCACGAGAGACGGTGGTGGGAGATTGGTTCGTGGTGGGGCACTAGGGTGCACTAAGCGGTGATGGGCGCCGGTGGTGGGTGATTTTGGACTTTGGTGATGGTTTGTTTGGTGATGGGATGCTGGTGACTTTTACAGAGTGGAATAGTTTTCGGACTAACTCGAAAAATATAAATTGTTTTGGTTGAATATTTTGGCGGCGACCTACCTGGTAAAATATCAGTTAAGCCCATACTCTCCCAAAGGCATTTCACCGAAAGCGCAGTAGCAATTGTTTAAAAAAATTATGAATAAAGGTGATTTTGTATTCTGTAATGACCGAAAACTATTCCATTCTCTGTGTCTTTCGTGGTGGTTGTACTGGTGAAGGCGCATTTTGCTTGAGGAATTGGGTTGGGTTGGTCCCTTCTTTCAAAATGACGCTCTCTTGCATTTTTTTTCAGTGGGAATATTTTTTCTTTGTTGAAGACCATTATTATTTGAAAGCTATCTAGATTATCGTTTAGCCGATATTTTTTGACCCGCTGCCGATTATCGTTTGATATTTTTTCCTTTCAAATACAACTTACACTGCCAGAAGCGTTAGCAATTCACCATGATTATCTACTGTTTCCCACGTTCCTTGTCTCGCTATAATACATTATTCGATAACGTTTGTATTCACATCAGCCCGTGCTTGTTTCAGCATCATGTATGGCGCCCCCGGGCTGGAAAGTATGGGCCTGAGCGGGATGGGGGCCGACTCCAAGCTGGACAAGCCTCAGGTGTGAGCTGCGCCAGCGGGCAGCGTCTCCCACCGTGTCGCCTGGTCCCGTGCCGGGTCGGCGACGGGTCACCTGGGGGTCGGCGCTGGGCGCCTGATGTGGTGCACAGGTGACCTGAGCGCACGGTGGGAGTGATGAGATGGGTATCAGTGCATTAGTGGATCGCTTCGGTGGTCTCATCGAGCCATTGTGGAGTAGACCGACATCAGCTCTCGGTCTGTGTGAGTGTGTGTGAGTGTGTGTGTGTGTGTGTGGGGGGGGGTGTTGGTGTGTGTGTGTGTGTGTGTGTGTGTGTGTGTGTGTGTGTGTGTGTGTGTGTGTGTGTGTTGGTACGGGTCGGCAGAGCGGGCTTATTTAGCTGAATCTAAAGGTGCGTGAGGGCATTCATTCCTGCACAGTTGTGCTGTGCACTATCATGAGTGGGTGTGTCACATGTGTGAATGTACGCGGGTGTGATGCCGACGTTACCAGTGTGACGGTATGAAACGCCAGGCGTCGCCTGACCGACAGTGCCGCGGGACGAAGAGTTTTGATGCAATGTTCATCATGTTTGGTTAATTTTCCGGAAGTTTCACTTCAACCCATGCACCCTTCCAGTTTCACAAGCGGGTCGAAACTTGTGCCTTCGTGTGTTTTAGAAGACAATCGGCTGAAACGTTGCACTATTGCTATGGTGTGGATCTATGGTAGCTACTGCTTGCATCCGGCTCATTTATACCTTACTCATACCGTACATTTGTAGTGGTCCCTTTATCTAGCATGTGGTGGTATTCATACATTCCAAATGCTATGAATTGGCGAGTGCTGATATGCGTAGAATAAGCTGCGTCACGGGGCAATGGCTGTCACACTTACTGGTAAACCGCGCAACTTTGATGCGGATTCCATGCCACTCAGGCAAAATGCTTTAGTCAATGAAAAGTCTCCTACCTTCAGTGATGAAATGTGATTCATCAGTCGGTTGCAAATTTTATTACATGCATTTCGAGCTAGTGATATCTGCAAGTTTTATTGAATGCATTCCGGACTTGTGATATTTTATCCTGACCAAACCCCGCAGTGGTCATCTTGGCAGGGCAACTGATATTGCCATCAACACCATTCCAGCAGACTTATCATGTGACAACTGCATTTCGCCTCTGTGATCGCTTTGTGAATAGCAGCTTGTGACCGTAACGCATCGGCTGCAATGGTTTTCACGTGTGCTTATTTTACCGATGATTATACGATGGGCATTTTCCATGGTCGCTGCCGGTTGCACTAGCGTATCTACTGCGATGTTGGCGCGACATGCCTGCTTTTGGACGTGCTGTACCGCCGAGCAGTGTCTTCGAAGACCTGTAGGAGGCGATGTGGTCAGACCCAATACAGCCGTGCCTATCAGTCGGAGTCTTTTTGAAAGTGGAAGGGGCAGGGGCGTCGCCATGGGTTTTTGAGTGGGGGGGGGGGACGAAGCTCGACGGATCCTGCAGGATTTTTTTCTATGCTAGAACCCCGTAACCCCGTTTTCAGCCTTTTCCCTGGATTTGATGCACTTTATTTTTGATGTAGCCGGTTTTTATTATTTTTATTGCGCACTTCTTTTCGTTGTGTTCATTCAGGCATAATTTCTAAGCCCAGGGCATCGTGGGACACAAAGAATAAACGACACACTATGCTTTGATTTTATTTTTTAATGTCAGAATTATTGGTGCCAATCGGAATTTCTTTTCTTGGAATTCCAATTTTTGTCCAATTCCAATTTGGAATTTGGACGGAATTCTTAACATTTTTGGAAATTAATCGGAACACAAGGCCTTTAAAATTTAAAATTTTAAAACGGAGGCCTTTAAAACGCTTTTAAACACTTTTAAAATTTACGCAAAAAATGCAAAAATCGTTAAAAATTGGAAAAGCCCCCGCTTTGGACAAAATTGGATTTTTTTTTGGCAATTTCTTGGAATTGGATCGGAATTGGAATTGAAATTTCATGAAATTGGCACCACTAGTCAGAATGCATGGGTGTCACTAAGATATTTTGATTTTTCAGAAGAACGCCTTTGAGTACGAATGGTAAATGTAAATGGGGAAGGTTTGGACTTGCTTATTTCCGGTTTCTTTACTTAAATTATAAATACATATAACACAAGTACCAAAATTGACTTTCCTCAAAGGAAGCCGTTTAAAGGTAGTGTGCCACCTTTGAAAGATTTCCCATTTTATTTTTCCTAGGATAAGAAGCTTCTGTTTTTACCTAATATCGCAAAAAAATCGAAAATAAGCCTGGAATAGTGCCTTTTTCGCCTAAAAGTTTATCGGTTTTTCGATATGTATAACAACTGTAGTGGGCTGACCTGCAAACAGGCGTCGGCAACAATCGCGAATGCGGCGCACATGTGACAATAAGCAAAGGTCATTATATATCGGGGTTACATGAGCACAGTAAATACGTATTTAGCCGCTAATTCGAATTAGGAACGCATTACCGACTCATGTAGCCACCTGCTAGTACGAATCGGCGATCCGATCCGCGGTAACATGAGCAAAGTGTAGCACGCTACATCTTGAACATTTAACGTAATATCTTTTCGCCACGGCTCGGTCCGGCAGTCCCTCTCCCTCGCAGTCCGGTCACAGGCCCCTCCATTCACTCACCCATCGCTGCTACCGGGTGACGCACAGCTGAGCGGAGCGCTGCTGCTGCGCTCCCCTCCCCTCTCATTATTCACCCCCCCCCCCAGTCACCAGGCCCACCATCCCCACACATCACTTTTCTCCATCTCCCGCAACGAGCACTGTCCGTGGGAATAGCCGCAGTAGACACATCTGCGGGAAGACGATGCCGCCTACATCAGTACGAACCGTCGAGGCACAGCTGAGTCAACAAGCTACGTCAGGACCGCGGCCGGCGGCGGCGGCGAGCGAGCACGTTAAGGTACTCTGTCACTTGTCACGTACTCTGTCAGGTACCACAACAGCTGCACCGCGCTGAGTCCCACGGAGGGAATGGCAAAACCAGAAAGATCCTACGGCAAGCAAAAACGCTGTAGTTCCAGAGGTCTTCGCAATGGGCAGCCGTTAAACTCTCATTACGACGCTCGCCTATGGAGACAGCTACCGCAGGATGAGCGATCCGAGCCTCCTCAAATAACGCTGGATCAGTAAGATATGTCAACAGATCATGGAGCAGTGTCAAGGATGGATGCCGGCTGGAGCACACAGCCTCCTTTGTCGGGCACAGCAACCCAGGGTGAGTGAACCTGGCAAAACAGCCGGGTGACCGACCTCACAATGGCCTCATGAGGTAGTTCCAGAGATCTCCGCAGAGGAAGAAGGCGCTGACTTACGGCCACGCCCCGGTACGGTGGGCGGAGCAAGAGTGACGTCACAGGGGCGTTGGCGGCAGACGAAACGGAAGGAAACAAAAGTTTGAATAAAATGAAATTGAAGAATCAAAATTAAAACTCGAAAATCACAAACCTTTCGGGGATTGTTTTATGCCAGCGATTACTAAAATGATAAAGCACTCAACACGAAGACGATTCGACGGCCAAAAATTGCAGGCACAGAGGAGCAAGGTGACTAAACAGGACAGAGGGCGCCATCTTACGGCCCCACCCACCAGAAGAAGGCAGAGGAAGATGACGTCGCAAGGGCGTGGCAGTCACCCCTCCCCCCCCCCCCCCCAACTATAAAAGGGTGCGCCACCCAACCAGAGGGGGAATCACAGTCGAGCAGCCGAGAGTCACAGTCTGCAGCTGGAGCCGGGGACGCCTTCTGGGAGCCGCCGTCAGTCCGGGGTCACCCGCGAGAAGCCTCTTCAGCTCGAGCGATCAGAACCGAGGACAGCCGCCGACGCTTGCGACCACACTGAGAAGCGGAAGCACAGAGAAACTCCAGAATGTGAGTGTTGTTGAAAAGTCTGCTCAATCCCGATCCTTGACCCCCCCCCCCCTCTACCCAGCCTGCCGTGCCGTGACGACTGCCAAACATTTTCGGTTGCCATAAAATGCACTCTCAATTGGAATTGGAAAACTTAAATTACTTTGAACTTATTGGTCCAGACACCCTAGTAGCACGTTAGGATCTGAATTGTGAGGTCATGTCAGAGCCGCCAGTAAATACGTTATTGTCAGTTGGAGTACGGAATACATCGCGATTCGGTCGAGAACGGGATGCTAAAATTTGAATAAGCAGCTCAGTGTCTCGAACGCTGAAATTGATGACAGGATGCGTGACAGCGTTGAAATGTCTTTGTCTTTGGTTAAACTGGTTCGTTCGATTTATTATCGGCGGATGCGATTTGAGATTGGAACGTTTGTGAAATTGAGGGTTTAGATTCGTGCTGTACTCACTAAAAGTTGCATTGCGAAATCATTGGTAATATTGCTGTAGGAATTAATTGCGAAGTCGAAATCATTCGGTTATAGAACAGGTAAATACGGTTGAAAGAATGTAATGGTTTAAGGTGGCGACTGATTCATGCAATCGATCTATGAATATGGCTATGAGTTATGATTTTCGACAGATACGAATGCTTGAGCTTACGGCGGAATTTCTCTGTTACTTAGGTGCAGAGTTGAGAGTAGTGGTTTGAGGTCGACGGTTTTACACTTTGCAACTTTAGATGGTCCTTGTACTTTGCGTCATTGAAGTGGCGAAATGTCGAGTAAGAGGTAGATGTAGAATTGTTTGTGGTTAGGACTAATATGCGACTAATATAGGTACCGATCGTTGTGCTTTTGTAGAATAAATACTAGAAAAGACTATCTTTGTTGGGAAAGATTAAATGGGACAGGAATTTAATTCTTAACCACTTACGTTGAACGGAGCTGATGAAATGTCGAACAGGAAAATATTGCAGCGATATTTTACCAGATTCACACTCACTGACATATCCGGTGAATCTACCCGGCCAGAAGAGACAACACGTACGAGCACTGCACCGCGAGTGATGGCGCGCCCATCGCGGCGTGGCCTTGACTGACTGTCGACGCGACGCCAGCCGGCGGCCGTGGTATTCGTCGTTCCCGACGCGGGCGTTGAGCCGCCAGAGGGCGCGAGGAGCAGCCACAACAGGGGCAGTGGGTTAGCCGTAATTGGGGCGCGTGCGGTAGATGAAGGTCACGTATGGGAGCATGGTTAGTTGTGGAAAGTTGCAACGGGATAAGAACGTAAACAGTTAATGCATAATTTTAAATATGACATGCTATTTGATATTTAGGACTGCACTTCGTTTGATGTGCATTGTTTACTGCTAATAGGATGATTTAAATTATATTTTCTATGAAAGGCTAGGGACCCCTATGACAATATTCTGGCAC